AAAGGAATCGAACCGCCGTGATGCCAGGGATGCGGCGAATGGACGACCGAAGACTCGCCATCGAGATACGTAAGTGGTCGTGGTTCGCGTGCTTGTGCAGCTTCTTTGAGAACGTGCGCGCGCGGGGCTTGAGGACGATACGCACGGCGACGAAGAAGCAGTACACGGCATCGATATACATCTCGATTTGGTTCGAGTTGTACTCGTGGGCGATTTTGTAACTATTGGTCCATCCACCCATCGTGATCTTGACTTTGTTCACGTCGTCCGCCTTCCAAATGCTACACACGAAGCATGAGGTCCAACGAAAGCGAGAAAGCCCACGCACCGTCCACCGAGCGCGACGAGGAGAATCACCAACGCCATCAAGTCACCGACACTCGCGGCATTGCGGAAGAGACCGGTGCGGAGGGAGATGAGGCGGAGGAACATGTCGACGACGTAGACTCCACAGAATCCGAGGGATGCGATGCGGGTCTTGGGACCGTACTTGTAGAAGTTCTCTGTCGAAGTGAAGCTCACAGCGACACAGTTGCCGAAGAAGTCCATAAACAGAAGAAGCATGAAGAAGTAGTGCCATTGCCTCGAGTCGATAAACTGGAGGCACCCCAGTCGCGCGCTCTTGCCCTGGCGGGTGGTATCGCGCGGAGGAGGCGACGCCAACACGGGAGTTGACGTCTCCTGCATCGTGGCGTACTCCGTGGCGTGTGGAGTGGCCGAGTTGCCGCTCTCCATGGAGGATTGGTGCTGCGGCTGCCGTGGCTTCATCCGACCTTGTTCCTTGATGGGTGGAATTGTCGGTTTCAAGAGATTTTGACTTGGATTTTGTATAGAATCCCAACACCTTCAGACCAAGAAGCAATTGTTCCGATACCGACGTAACACAGGTGGGAATTCCATTTTCATCCAATCCAATCACGTTACAAAACTTTCATCCAATCCCATCCTGACTATACTCCGATTATTAACCAACCAGAATGTCCGATGCTCCATTACGCACGAATGCTTGGTACGAAGCGGCGGAGTCGCATGGGACGACGGCAGGTTGATGGCCCCGGCGACAGTCCTCGCTCAGCGACGTCACGAAAGTACGTGTGTAGATGTACTGGTAGAACGCATGGGTGACCTGGTGGAAAGAGGTGCGCGCCCGCCATCGCGAGACGGCAAGTGGCCGCGACTTGCGTCGAGATACCCCATGAAGAGGAAGCATTGGGATTGCAGGACGAATGACCATTGAATTATGCATGATGGATATGGGCAATGCATCCAACGACAGCGCTCGACGACTGTACGTGACAACAAAACTCTATCGGAGTCATGTCCAGCCTGGCACGGGTTGTGCAGCAAGCACTTGTGTCTCGGCCCTGCAACTCGAAGCCGTGTTTGCGCTGGTTACATCTCCGTGATGGTCCTCACACCGTCATGAGTTCTCCAAGCGCATCTACACGCATGCCATTCGAAGTTTGAGCGCTCGTCGGCTCTGACGACGGCATTGCCGAGGTCCTTCCAACGTCTCTTGATCCGCATCCAGCGGCGCTTCGCTGCGACGGGCTTCCGCGGCGGGATGCTCCAAGCGGTGCAGCATGTCGGCGGGTTGGGCATATGCTTGAACTGCTCCATCGACCACCGCGCTTCATGGGCAAGTAGTGCCAACGTCGTCAAACTGGCCCGACATTCACAATCGTGCATCCAGCCGGCGTTGTTCTAGCGTAGAGAGGCGATGGCTGATTCGTACGTGCATGGCTCGCTTCTCCAAAGTCTTGACGATGTGGACTTCCGTCTTGGCATCCAAAACGCTCGTGGCCTCATCTAGCACGCACGTCGCCCGCCGAGGCACGAACGTCCATGGAGAATGTTCATTTGCACCTTGGTTTCATCGCCAACGCGGGAGGAGCGAGGCAGATTCGCTCGACGTGGCGGTCACGTCGATCGACAAGGTTGCCGTCGGCCGCCATGGACACGTCGATGCGGTCGACGACAAGGCAGGCTTGCTTTCTCTCGCCGAATGCTGTCGAGCATGGAACGGTTCAAAGGTCCGCCGTCTTGAAAAAACACGACCGCCGCCTTGTGATCCGGTCGCCCCTGAGCGCCACCGTCCCCAGCGATCGTGCCGGTTTCAAGAAATGGCAGCGAATCCGTCCGCAAACGTGCTCTTCCCACACCCACTGGACGACGCCGTGCGATCCGTTGCTTCGCACGACTCGAGCGCCATTCGTTCGATGCGTGCTTCAACATCGCGCTGACATTTTCGCGCCCGTCGTGGGTGTACGACAAGCTCCGTGGAGTAAACTCTTGGAGCATAATACGAGAGGCATTTTTAGATCCTCCGCTGCCTCAAACACGTGCTCGTCGTACGACAAACGTCGTTCATGTCGATGGCAGAGCCCGTCGCAGTGCACCAGTACCGCCAACACAACGTTTCCTCGCTTCAAACTGGAGGCGTGCCCAGTGGCCACCCGCATACACCCACCGAGCACCGTGTCCCTGGCATCGACACACGCGGCCAAGGAGTGCCACATGTGCATCCAAGTCGCTGGCTGGGATGTTGCCATGAAAAAGTCTTCGTCATCGCGCATATCGAAGGCAAACCATTGCAAGCGAGTACTTGGATGGTCAAGCACGCCGTCACGACCGACACAAAGATAAACATGGCGCATCCAATGGACATGGGACCGATGCGACTCGAAACGTCGTTGGCGAATTGCGCCAGTCGTCGGATTCGAACGACGCGACAGCAGCGGGCATGGCATCTCGTACGCGGCGCGGACGACCTGCACACAATGGAAGATCCATTCAACCGTTCAATGTTGGACAGATTTTCAAAGTTGGCCGCGACATGCATGTCCTGCTTCGCGAAGTCGAGGGAGTTTTCGCTGGCAAGGTCTTGAGCTCCCGACGTGACGAGGATCGCGGCGAAGGGGACAGTGACACGATCCCAAGAATTGGCTCAAAGTACACATCAGATACCGGAATCCGATCGCGATCGACTCAACGGGTTGCATCAAGCACGTGGTTGATGTTTCAAATAGGTCCGCCGTCGTCGACGGCGTTCGGGGAATCGTTGTCAAGGCGCGGCATGTGTGAGTGTGAAGCCTATCGGATCGTCGTGCGAGGATAGCGCCTTGTGTCGACTTCCTCCTGCCGTGGACTTGGGCGATGGCGGCGTCGCGCTCGGTTTTACGAATGTGTCGTATTTCCGTGTACATCTCTGCAATGCATCCGGATTGGTTAAAATTTTACGCAAATCGGGCTTTTCACGTTTTTCATTGGCCAAAATGGATATGCGGGGCAACAAACAGGATGGGATACAGAATTGTGTCAGGGTGAAACTGCGCACGCAACAAAATGATGTTCATTCGTTAGTAACTTCGTTTCCTTTAGAGCGTTTTTGTTTTACGCGACCTCCAGCGGCAACTCGCATGTGGCACATGGGACGCGGTCGCCGTCATGGCGCCTCGTCTTCGTCAATGTCTCTCGGCACACACTCATGGCTCGGATGCGTATCAAGCTGGAACATGTACCATTATTCTGCCACGTGCATGCGAGGGTGCGAATATGGTACGCGCATGTGTTGCAGACATACTGCCTCTGGAGTCTTTTGTGGTGGTTTATGACTATGTCAAAGCACTATGCAGCAAGGATGGCATGGGACAGTGGAAGAGGAACGACGTAGATGTGCTCTTTAAGGGGGAGATAGTTGGGTCGACGTCCATGCAACCGAGCACGACCGACTCCGCCCACGTTCCACCGACAAGATGGACGCGTCGTCGGATCATCGATCTCGTTTCCCAGATCGCCATCACTTCGTTCCATTTCGTGACGGCACAATCTGAGTGACGCCCCCGAATGTTTTACGCACACCCCACCGTCGTCGTCACATTGCAATCGCTGCTGCGCTCCTTCAGCGCAAAGTCCGCGTGCGGCGCTGCAAACGCATTTCCATCAGCTTTGGGACGACAGGTGAAACCGCTCGTGCCCCCCCCGTTTCATTTTGGATCGGTTACGCGCATCGAGGCGCTTTCTTCATACGGCGATGGCTGCGTCGGGGGCGGCGCTCAACTATCCTTATAGACCGATCCACAAGCAGCAGCAATCTCCACAGCCATCGCCGCCGCCGCCATTGCGTCGCGGAAATCATGCCATGCCGAGAGCGTCGAGCTACGAAAGTATTGTGCAGAAGCAGCCGCCGCGGCCGCCAGTGACGCAGCCGTTCCACGGTACCTTGCATCGCGTGCGCCATTCTCGTTTTTCACGGGTACGACGAGTAGCCCTGACGCGTGAGGAGATGGGGTGGGAGTCGCTGAATCAACCCGACGCGTTGCGACCCAACGTGCTCAAGACCAAGGCGCCAAAACCTAGCTTCAAGCTCAACAAGACCCAAAAACGAGAGTGCGGATGGAATACTTCGTTTCCAGCCGAGTACGGGCTCGTCAGCCTCGCTTCCGACTTCAAGACAACGCTGTCGTACACGCAGCTCAAGCAAAAGGAACTCCAGCAACAAAAGCAGGTGCGCACGCCAGCCACGGAAACGGGCGGTGATGGCTGCTGCACCCGTAGCTCCTGCGCGCGAGTGCGAGTCAAGTCGCCGATGCAGACGTGTGGCGCAACCACCACGACTCGACGCTGCATCACCTGCAGCACACGTTCAACTGCCACCAGCCGCAGCCGGTTTCGTACGATGGCCAGGTCATGGGACGCAGTCCGTGATGGCATGCGTAGGGACCCCCAAGACGAGATTCGAATCATAAAGGCCATCTTGATTCGGGAAGGACTGGTCACGCGGCTGAAAGGCACCACGCAGAAGCTGCGCATCGGCGACCACTCGTCCCTCCACCACGGACCCGAGGGCAGCTCTGTCTTGACACTTCTTTTGCTCACGCGCGAGGCGTCGTTGGCAGTGATCGAGGCCATCGTGCGGTGGTACCAGGTACATATCTCCAACGACGCTCTTCCTTTCGTGTGCCAACGATGTTTCACCGTGCCCCCAGACGCTGGCCGTGCCTCGTCCGTACATTTGGAATGGCCGGAGCTACGTCCATCGGATGCTGGACGATTTGAATTTTCTCGGCCATGTCGACGTGATGGCGGAAGCGCTGGGCGTCGCCCCTCGCTCGATGGTCCGCAATCCATTCATGATGCCAACGTCGATTGCCGACCGCGATCTCGAGTCGTTCCGGTGCATGGTGCACCCGCCCCCGGTGGCGTTGCCATCCACCACGCTTCCGGTACCCACCATCCCCGACAGCGCATTTTCACTTTCGTCAAAGGCCATTCCGGCCACCGATTCCGCGAATCATGCCACACCGAAACAACCAGCGCCGGCCATTGCGGTCGCTGACGCCGATGCGTTTTTGATTTGGTGCTGTATCCATCTCGAAGACGTCCCTGCCGTGAAAGCCCCTGGACCGTCGAATCAAACGACTGCGGCGGTGCGTGCGAGCGGCTGCTGTACTCAGCTGATCGCAGCGGATCAACATGTAGCAGACGACAGCGCCGTCGACGCACCAACACGTCCTAGAATGGCAACAGCGGGCGGAAATGCAGCTCAAGCTTCTCAGCATGCCGATGGAGTCCTCGACCGGAGTCCACGTCATGGATTCATCGCCTCTAATGAAGCGCAAGGGGCACTTGCCCGCGTTGAGCGCCGCGCCACCGGAGACTCTCCACGAATTGATTCATCATGTGCATGGGCCAGCCAACTGCGAGTCATCGAAACGCGCGGGTTCGTACATATGGCCTCCACGACCGCAACGTGTCCCTCGACGGGATGCTCTTTTTGTTTCCCACGGCGGTGACGCGAATCCTATCACGACAGGCTCGCGACTACCCATCGCCGTGACCACAAATGCCAAGTACGCCAACGTCAAGCCGCGCGTAAGCGCCGTGCCGAAGCCTCATCAAGTGAAAACCCCACCAAAGCCAGCAGTTTGTTTTTTGTGACATGGGCGGCGACTTTGATGTCGTTTTGTAGACAAAGCCTGCCAAGCGGCTCCCGGTCAAGCGCAACGCGCACGGGCAGCAGCAGCCTACCATTCTGACAGTGCAAAGCATGAGTGTGTCGCATGTCGAGTTGGAAGCGCTGAGTGCGATCGAGACGCCGCCACAAGTCGTCGCCCTCATCGCGGTTTGCATCCCGTTTGGCGATCTAGCTCACGGCCACGTGTAGGCCACGGTACTTATCTTGCTGACGCCGGGGGATTTGGTGCCGAAAGATGTGAGCTGGAACACGTCTCGCACGATCCTGTCAAACGGGCGCGAGTTCCTGCGCACGCTGCACGCCATGTCGACGGGACCGCCGGTCGCCGACTTTAAATTGCGGGTGCGCCGGCTCTCCAACAACACGTCCAACGGACGTTTGTACGCAGGCGCTGACGCCGTTCCTCGCCAACGACAAGTTTCGCCCGCAGTACCTCGCGCCCATCTCGAAACCCGCCGCTGTGCTATGTGCATGGGTCCTCGGCATGGTACTTGCAATGCGCGACCGTCGATTCGACTTGTCGCACTAGGTACATCCCGACTCGACACGTTGCACGCTGCATGACCCGGCCATGGCCGACGAGCGCGATCGATCCGATCTCGCGGCGTCCTTGGATGAAGACACATTGGCGCCGTCCTCATCTGCTGCTCCTGCTCGTATCGAGCCCGAAGTCCTTGTCGTTCACGGTATTTCTTTCCCCGTGTCCACCGATGGCTTCCATTTCTTGTAGCATCGACCGACGGAATCGACGAGCGCATTCTGTACAGCGGCACGTGGACGTACCGCGGCCTCAAGTACTTCGTCACGTTTTTCCTGGCCGCACCGACCACCCTCCGCTTGAAACTATTCGAGCCGCAGAGCGCCATCGAGACGCAAGCCACGATGACGGCCGGCGAAATCCATCAGCTCTTTGGCGACACGGCGACCCAATATGTTCAAGGTCCGTCCCTCGCCACCCGCACGACAACTGACGTGCCAGTAGCTTCTGCATGGATTGAGCTGTGCCAACTCATTCTGAACCAGTTGGACCACGTCATGGCTCCGCATGAAATGGATGGCACTCGGTGTGCCGATGACGAGGCTGAATTGTGGGACGCTCTGTCGACTCCTCGGGTAGACCATTTGCCGGCCGCCAGTTTGAATCATGCTGATGGAGTTTCAAGGACGCGTCGCCACTTCGTCCGACGCCCGAGGACGTTCACGGCGCAGCGGTCACGATTCAATGTGCCACAAGACAAAAACAATCGAGGGAGCGCGTGCGCAGGATGCGGGCGAGTCGAAAAGCTCCACCATACCGACAAAAGGCGCCGACGCTCTTCATGACTGGGGCACAACTGCATAAACTGGAAACTCAACCAAGCATGACACAAAAACCCAGTCCACCACTTCCCGTACGTGTTGCTGGTGCGAGGTCTGTTGTGAATTTAGCTTTGGAATGCCAGAGTCCAAAGACCCGGACGCATTCGCTCCAGCACCATCGATCGCTGGTCGACATGCAAGCAAACTACGGCGTCGACGTCGAGCCCGAGTGGAAAGAGATCGAAGCGCATGCCGTGGTATACCCCTATCGCGTGGCCATGCCGTGTGATATGTACAATTGTCTAGCACGGCATCAAGTCTGCGTCGCGCCGGCGGCTCTCGAACGTCCAAGTGCATGATTTGGAAAAGTTACTCCACAGCACAGCCAGCGCTTCGAATTTAAAGCACGTGGCGCATCCAAAGCAACAGCACGACGACGCGGCGCTGCACATTCAATGCGCCGTGAGGCAGCGCTTGGCTCGACGCAAGGTGCACCACACTCGATTGGCAACACAGCAAAACGCGGCGGCGGTGCGCATTCAGTGCGCGGCTCGACAACGATTCGCCCGCGACAACGTCCGCCGCCTACAGTCGGAGCCATCCAACCAAGCCGTGACGATAAGTCAGGTGGGATGCTCTAGATCTTTTTTTTTTCCTTGCCAGCGTCTTGAATCAATTTTCCAACAAAATGCTCGCTGTGGGTGGTTTGAACGCACGTTTTTGGCTCCTTTCTTGCGCGGCATGAAAAACGATGGTGCGATGGCGCTTGGAATGGAGGGGAAGTGTTTGTTGGAGGAGATCGTCCCGGTTTCAATGCCTCGTCGTAGCCGTTGTCCATGGTTTCCGGACCCTGGCATTTGAAAATGTGTTGAAGATTTTGATTGATTTTGCATGTCTCGGGCGTCTCTCGGGTGCTGCCGTCTGCTTCCTGGCGGGATGTTGTAGAAAATTCCGACTTTGTGTCCATAAGCATGCGCGCATTGCTGCCCGCCGACTGCACTGGTGTTTGAATTATCTTTGACATTAGGACGGCGCCGCGGATCATATTTCATGCATGGCACGTCCGCGAAAAGCATCCCACGTAGTCCAGCACCGGCAGGACGACATGCAGCAACTCCACGAAGAGCCATGGCCCCAGGCATTGAAGCCAGTACGTCGATCATACCCCTGGTAACTCGCGCCATGGCGGTCACTCATTGTATTCCAGGACGATGCAGCCGTGCGAATTCAGTGCATGGCGCGAAAGCGCCGCGCCCAAAAGACTGTTCGCGAACGTCGACAGAGACGCCGTCGTCCCCACCAACGACACACACAGGTGCAAGCAATAATCCGCCGTCGTTGTCAAAACGAGTCGATGGCATGCCGAATTTTGTAGCCCGAGGCGGCTGCGGTGCGAATTCAGTGCATGGCACGGCGGTATACGGCGACGAAAGTCGTCCAGGCACGCCGAGAAACTCAAAGCCAACGAATAATGTCGATTCAGCAACACAACGCGGCACTGCACATCCAATGCATGACGCGGCAGACGCTGGCTCGGAAAAAAGTGAACTTGCGACGTGTTCAAGCGAATGGCGGTGCCAACGAGTACGTCGAGGCGATGGAAGCTGTCGTCGACGACATGTTGGGTCCGTCGAGCGGTCGAAGCGCCACGACCGTGCAAGAGGAGCCAGCGTCGCCTCGATTCGTTCAACGGCAGGTTGCTAGGGACGCAAGGGCGGCGGCTTCCTCCTTTGAGCCTGCCATGGAAGCGCATACCACGTCTCAAGATATGGGAAATGTCAGGACGAGGGCCAGCTCGAACGAAGAGGTTCCGTCAACTCATGCAGCTCCAATGGCGCCTTTGACCGAAGTTGTCGGAATTCTGCCACTGAACGACCCCAAGCCGGCTGTCCACGGCGAGCCACACGTTTTCAGTGGGGCATTCCAGCCTTCCCTTGATGAACAAACGAGTGCTTCCTTTCCTCGTGGCGCCAGGGACAAGCCATCGAATGGTCTTGCAGCGCCGGCTATCGGAGAAGTGGACAATATGCCCACGGACATCCGGCACGACTCAAAAGATGCAGCGTCCACATCAGAGGTCACGCCGCCCTCCATTGAATTTCCCGCGCCAAACGATTTGGAGCCGAGCACTGCTACCTCTGCGCACGTGCGACTTGTGGGTGCTGTCCATGAAGTCGACGATGCGAATGTTTGGATCCTCGACGGCGCACCCTCTCCACTGTTGCGAGCGGAAGCGGTCACAAGCAAGCCCGACACGGAGTTCGGCCGTGAAATAAATGGCATCGGCGCCGACGACATTGCGACGACGCCTGCGATCGAAGCACCGACCGGGTCTATTTGCGCCATCGATCCAACATCCACCAAAGCAAAGGTGGTCGACGGCGCGCTGACGGCAATCCCCGAACGCGCGGCGCCAGATCCATCGGCTACCGGCGTACCAACCACCGTGCTTTCAAAGTCCACGGACATCACGTTCGACATGGCATCCATTGTGGACGTCCACGCGGCACGGAACGACCTGCGCTGCTTGGATATCTCGATTGCATCAAAGTCAGATCCGGAGGAACTTTCGCCTTTACAGGCACAACGTGCCGCGCCCATGCAAGCCAGCTTGGAACCGATCCACCATGAGGCCGCTGCCTTGGACGACGGGCAATGTGTCAACAGTCGCAGCCACAGATCCGACGAACCCATGGCAGAAAACATTGGCGGTGCCGGTCGCGCGCAAGATAGACCCGTGGAACCAACCACCGTTCCGCCTTTGCACGGCGTTGAAGCAATCGTTTTCCCAGTGCGAGTTGGCTCCATCGTCCACGCTTCCCCATCGACTGACGAGAGCCCGATCACTCCACCCGATCCTACCTACGCCAACGAGTTTGACGACGGGTTTGTGCTGAACAGCGGCCGATCGAGTGAGCCAGACCCCACAGTGCACGTGCCCGTGGTATTCACGTCCAAGACTCGTTTGAGTACGCTTGACGATTTGTAGGTTCCAACCCCGGACGCGGCCGTGGCGTTGCAGCACCAGTTCAACGCGTCGAGGCCGGAGACTTCCGCCATGTACTTGGAAGACGAGTTTGAGGACGAGTAAAGTCATGGCGGTGCGCCTGCGTCGCCGATTTGTCGCAGTTGAAAAATCCCGACCATGCTCGAGTAATTTGAATTCCAAGCAAATTGTTAAAAATTCCTTCGAAAATGGACGAAAATTGAGAATTATCCAATCAAATCGCAGCATCGCCACCAAGTTTTGGTAGAATCATTCGGGGGACGGCGGCGACGGCGATGGGAGCGTTGGACGAGGCGAGGCGGCTGATGGAGATGGAAGCACCAGAGGAGACGCCGTATATGCATCTGTACAAAGCTCGTGATCTTCTACTCGAAGCATTGAACAACGACCCGGCGTCGATCCCGCTGCATTCAACGCTCGGGCAAGTATACCTCGCCGTCGACGAACCTCACACCGCCCAACCGTGCCTCGAGCGAGGACTCCAGCTCGTTCCTGGATGCGAGAACCTCATTTCGTGGTGCAATGGCTTGCAGGATGAACAGGTCACGTTGGACACGTTGATCACCGACGTGCCCGAGTTCGACACCCCCGAGAGTTTTGATGCCCACCGTGCCGACATCATGGGTATTGCATGGTACGACGTTGAATACACGGCCTCCTCATCTTGCGTACCTAGACATCCTCAATCAACTCGGCATTCTCTGGTTCAATCGAACGTCGTACGGGCGTGCGTTCTGCTACTTCAAGACAGCCGAATCAATGTTTCTCTTTAGCAGGTGCAGCGTGATTACCAATTCCATCTCGTGCTCATGCCGATCGTAGCGAGCCTGGCATGCGGCCGACATACATCCACACGCTGTTTTACTTGGCGCAACTGTACGGCCATTTAAACGCTCCCGACAAGTCCGCCACGTACTGCCACATGACGCTGCGCCACCAACTGGACGACCCAAACAACAACGTGCCGCGGGACTGGGTTCAGAATTGTTTACGTTTGAGCGAGTATTTTCTCCAGCAGAATCAATTGCCCAAGGCACGTCACGACAGAGAGAGTGGGAGGGAGCGTGATCGGTCGAATGAATGTAGGCATCGCAATGCCTCCACGCGTGCACGTGTGTCGGCGCACCACCCGACGAACAAGCGCAGATCGCCGCGTCTTTGGCGAAATTGTACATTCAAACGCTGCATTTGGCCCAGCACAAGATCGATCTGTTGCCGGACACGGACATCCTGTTTCCAACTTTGCGCGACGCGACGTTCATCGCGCCGTCCGCGATTGATTCGTTCGACGCGGCGCGAGACGTGTTCAAGAAGGCGATGGCGGCGCTGACGACGGCCAAGGTACGTGGAAGCTGATGGTGTCAAGAGGTTGGTCGCGCGATCGTGGGTAGAATTTTTTTGGGCTCGACGGGTTTGTGACGGACCACATTCGACTGCTGCAATGCCAGAGTCGATGCTACGCCAAGCTCATTCCATTTGAACCGGACCGGAAGCGGCAGATGGCCATGCACCAGAAACGCATTGACGTGTACGACCCGATCCTGCACGGCGACTTCAACTTGAACGCGTACGGGTATCTCGTCCAAGAAATCTACTTTGAAGTCGGTGAAATCTACAGCGTCCTGCATGATCTCAAGGTCGTTGTGCACTGGACCAAGCCCTACATGGAAACAAATGTACGCTCGACATAGTTTTGGGGGAGTGTTATTACCTGGTGGGGTCGTAGCAATACGCCGTCGACTCGATTCGGTTCTTTGAAAAGTTTTTGCAGCTGTACTACTACCAACAAGGCAAGAGCGACTCGCTGGAAACGCTCCCGGCGCGACTCTACGTCCCCACGCACTTGGACACACACAGCGTCGACGACATGAAGCCATTTTTCAACGGCGTATTCTTTTTGACCCGCGTGTATGGCAAGGTGCAGTTCCTCGACGACGCCAAGACCGTCTTGTTTTGGACGAAATGGTTGGTCATGCTGAATACGCGCACGAGTTGTGTGACCTTTGTATTTGTAGTTTGGAAATGCACGAATGCTTGCTGCAATGGATTCCGTCGTTGGGGCTGCCGAATTTCTTTGTCGACGAAATCGCGATTTCGCAAGAAATGAGTCGGTTGCTGCCCGAGAAGATCAACCATTTGCACCACAAGCGCCGTCGGCTTTGACATATGGATTGGTGCAGGGTGAAAGTTGCCTCGTATATATACACACACAGCAGCCTGTCGTGAAAGTTAAAATGTCTTGAGGATCATTTGGTGGTCGGGGTCGTATCGCAGGCCATTTTGCTCAAACGCGGCAGATTCGTACAAAGGGCTCAAGTCCATAATCCCGAGGGACTTGGCTTTCGACAGAACATCCGCGCAAGCGACTTGCAATTCGGATAATGGCGCGATGGATCGTTTCTTTTCCTGGCGCAGCTACACTCACAATACAACGAGGTAAGCCGCGTATTGAGGGAATGTTGTTGCGTTTTCAATGCTGAGAGAAGAACGATGGACCTTACCTGATGATACGTGTATGCCGCTTGGAACAACTCTTGCACAATGTGCATGAGTACGATCGTGTTGTCTTGGCGGAAGCTCAGATACTGCGCAAACAGCTTCTTCCACTGTCGTTTGAACGTAAACTTTTGGGCTTCGCACAACGCTGTGGTCATCACTTGGATCGCCATGTCCAAATCGTCATTGCAGACGGCGTCTCGTAGGTGCATGCGTGCATATGCTTCAGCCATTCGAAATAAAGATTCAATGTGGCGCACCTGACGATCATTTACGTTTGTCCGGATATATCGAAAACCATTCGATATTACGTACAGCGATGGGTACGGCGCCAGTGTGCTGCGAAGCCTTCCGCAATTGAGCGTAGAACGTCTCGATCTTTCGAGTGTCCAATGTCGAGCTCACGGTAGGGTTCACAAACGTCCGGGCGTAAACGATGTATTTTTTTAGTAGATCCTGCGGCAAGTGCGTCGATGTAGATGCCGTGGAGACCTAGGGCGCTCAATAGTGGCATAATCGTTGTATGTGTGTTGGAACCAGTAAGAATATTTATGTACCTTGGGAGTGTCCAAGCTGCTATTGATATGGGACGAAATGACAAAATCCGCCAACTGTTCGTCCTGAACTGGGTCCACTTTGTCCTGAATCCCAAGAGAACTCAATTTCATCGATGTCAAAACGTCAGGTCATACTTGCAAGACACAGAGCACATCAAACCGCTGGAGAATAGGATCCGTCAACTCGACGTTTTCAGCAAACGTCCTGGTGGCATTATACCGACCCCCGATAGGGTTTGCCGCAGCAATAACTGCACATCGCGCCTAAACACATTATCAACACCCACGAAATATGCATAGAGAAGTTGTGCGTACCTGCAGGGACGTGACAATGCCAGCTTTTGACACCGAAATGGTCTGCTGTTCCATGGCTTCGTGGATAGACGTGCGATCTTGTTCGTTCATCTTGTCGAATTCGTCAATCAAACACACTCCTTTGTCAGCCAAAACGAGGGCTCCGCCTAGCGATGACCAACACACCGTCACTGAACCGTACGAAGGTGCGCTCAAGCACCTTGGAGAACCCATTCTTTTGTCATTGGATCTCGTGTGACACCGGCCGTCAAACCCACTGCAGAAGCACCTTTCCCAGTGGTATACACTGCTCGGGGAGCAGTTGCTTGCATGAATTTCAAAAACTGCGACTTGGCTGTCCCCGGATCTCCCACCATCAACACGTTTAAATCCCCTCGCACCTACAAACACCGAAGTTCTTAGCAGTTGCATCGTGAGTAGCGAGATTTACGCGAGAATTTTTTATGTGTTTGGGCTTGCCTCCAAACAATGACAAACAGAGCGCTGTTTTCACAGCCGTGTGGCCGTAAATGGACGGTGCAATTGACTGGATCAAAAGCTGCCCGATATTCGGCTGCTTGCTCCACTTCAAAATCGCCTTCTTGTCTTCTGCAGTCAAGACGGTGGTGTGTCTATGGCAGCAACCATTCAAGATCAAAACGATGCAAAATCCATTGAAAATTGTACCCTTCAGCCGTTCGCTCAATGTGATTGGCTTCAATCACCGTTTTAAACACGGGAAACCCGTCTTTCATGTTTAGAGTAGGGTCGGGGGTGTTGATGTATACGCCTGTGATGGCAACCTCTTCACCAGGTCGAGCCTAACAAGTTCGACAGGTCGTCAAAATGAAACCCCGTTTTGTCGGATATATCCATACTTTGTCGATAAGATCAGCGAGCAAAATGACTTCTTTCGACCGAGGAACACGGCCTGGTGGGACACTTGACGGGCTTTCTTGCAGCGTGAGTTTTTGGTAATTTCGGTAAATGGTCTGGCTCGTGTTCAGACTGAACGGTCCTTTGGATTGACACTCTGGGCATGCGTTCAGCGACAACTCAGCGTTTTTGTGTTGAGTAAATGGCCTTCAATTGAAACGTGTATGAGGATATGAAACTGGTGGAAAACGAAAAGAATCGAATGATTTACCCTAAGACGGCACCACAAGCGACACAGTTGAACTTGACAAGCTGAAGTTGAGGAAACACCGAAGTGCGACGCGTGACAACCCCCGATACTTTAATCAAAAAATTGAGATGGGCCGTGCGCAAATCTCGTATTTTTTCCGTCCCAGGAAGGTCCAATATCCGCACAAAAATCTCCTTGTGGATCGTGTCGTAGTACGGAAAGAGACTCAGGACGACCTATACTATCGATGTCAAAAACAATGTATAACGAAATGCACGTGTTATTGTGACGGAATATTCGAAATCAAATCATCGCGAAAATGCCACTGATACAGCAAGAAGCGAGGCGTAGTGGAATATCTTTGGTGCGAACGGAACTTGAGACGTTACGGATGAGAATATTACCCAAGATTTGTGCAAATAAACAAAACATTCAACGAGTCGAAAGGAAAGAAGACGTGGGATACTTACGTCTCGCGCGACTTCATCCAGGAGACTCAACATATCTTTGGGGGCCTCGACAATCCACGCGGCGAAGATCGACATGCACTGAATGATGTCTCCGATCTCAATCTCCAAACTCTAGCCAAGCATGAGAACTCCAGTAAAGACATACAATTAGCTACCTGCTCGTTGCGCTGAGCCATCTTTACAATCTTCTCGTGGTACACGACCTTATTCTCGTGGGTGTACGTGTTGAGGAATTGTTTCTACCACCATGATGTGAGGAAGGCACACCACAACAATCAGCGTACGAAGCGTCGCTTAATTTCATTGCGGGGACGCTCAGCAGCAATGAATTCACGTAATGGCACGTCAAAGTGCTCCAAATTGATCAACTCTTCGTCCTAAACACCCACCTCAGAATCAACGATGCAATCGCAGGAAGCAAAAGTACCTGGACCATATCGTCCGTCGCACCTTCGTCCTGACGCCGAACGAAACGACGACGATGTGCATCATCGCGCTCCATCTCCTGGTCCTCCTGCAGAACCGCGGCCAGACGCCCTTCGCGTGCGTCGCGGCGGTCCAGCTCTTCTTCAACACGACGCCTCGTTTCTTCGTCGATGGCATCGTATCGTCGGTCATCCAACTGCCCCACATCATATTGATCCAACGTATCCATGCGCTTGTAATCGTCTTGCGCATTCTCAAGTAGATCTTCACCATCGTCGTCTTCTTCGTCGTCGGCCGAGAAGTACACGCGCTCATCCGGCGTCACGCCAACATCCTCGTCGAGGTCGGATGCATTCGACGCGTTTCCATTTTCAGAATCATCGTCGCCACGACGCAAGCGACGTCGCTTCGTCTCCCGCTCCATGTCGCTGTCGTCTCCGCTCAAGCTCATCTTGTTTGGTTTCCCGCTTTTTTCACTCAACATAGCAATTCGGATACACATATCCGGACAACGACCCAATAGATGAAGACTCATTTAATAACCAGTCGCACCTCAACAGAGCCTTTAAATGAATTATCTAAACGCAGAACTCCGAAACCCCAAGTGCAGCTGCGGCACGTTTTCAGTGTGGGGGCTTGATTGATGCCAGCAGTGTGCCGAGGAAGCTCTCTTCGACGACGCCCCACCAAATGACTTGTATGGTAACGCATGCATTTTGCGCCAAGTGGTCACTGTTTAGCAGAACATGTACACGGATTTCGTGTCAGGGGTCGACCCACACATGCGCTGGGCTTTCTTTGATCCCACAATTTGTTGCATCCTAAAACAACGCGTGTGAACGCTCGACGCGCGCCAATGGAGCTGACAGTTCGTACCGAAGGGTGTCGAAGCGACTGCACACGACAACACTCTTCGAGTCCTCTTCCGACTCCATCGCATTCAACACTTCGGCGTAGAACGGGCCGAGCGACGGCGGTGCGTACCAAAACACTTGTTTTACCCCACGAATCTGCCAAACAATGTTTGAGCACAGTAAAGGCCATGAAATCGATCGGTGATGGAAGAATACCTTGTACTGCTTGTAAAAGTGAAAGCGTTCGGTGATCAAGAGCACATGGATTTGTCCGTGGTAGAAGCGAGACCGCGCTCTAACTCATGCGGAAAGCGCAATAAGCACACAACTTGGAAAATGGAGGGTTCAATGTACCTTGAAATTTGGGCATCCGTAGAATATTCCGAGATGGCAGCGCAGCTGATCAAGCGTTTTTGGGATGCAAACACATTGCGAAGGCGGACAAAGTCCAAGTACGACGGCACAAAAATCTATACAGAAGCCACTCGTCAATCGACTTGATTTTGTGCAGCAATATTACCGACACTTGAAACCTTACCATGATGTGTTTGGAGGGGTGATCCAACAATGGTGCGAGAATGTGTCTGTCAAAGTATTCGAATCGAGCATCGGGTTCTTTGGCGAGAGGGCATGCAGCAGGTTGAGACGGCGTGTCCAAGCGCTGGAAGATTTGCTTGATGGAGGGAATTACATGGGACACCGACGGCACGACGTGCTGAAGGTCGTAGATCGGTGCGATGCGGGTCACTCCACGCATATTGTGGCAGCTCTTGGTGAAAAGATTGTTCAACTGGGCATCCGGGGCGTGCGACAGCACGATCGTTTGGCGAAAGTGATGTGCTTGATGGTTCAAGTTCCATTCGCGAATCTGCGCATCGGTGGAAAGTCATAGCCACCACTGTTTGTGTAGAAAAAAACACGACTCGTACGCGAGAAAAATCGGCACTTGGCGCTTCTTTCGGGGTGACGTTGATGGCATTGACGACGGCACGAACGTGGTCCATGTTTTGCATCAAGAATACACTGGCGGAATCTATTCCAAGCCAACATGAGCAACGCGTTTCGACAAAAAACGCACGAGATCGACGCACCCAAGACACACACTTCAATGGACGACAAAAAGTCCACTGGAAGCTTCAACGACGACTTGTCTCCCGCCACAATGTCGATCAAGACATCGCCGATTTTTTGACGCAATGCCAACGGCGATGCCACAATCAAGTCCGCGCGGCTGTAGTCCGTGTACAATCTAGTCACAAGCATGTCACGGTCTCGCAATAGTCGACGAAAGGAGGGCGGGTGTGAACACACTTGACGGATTTCCGAGCAAACGACACCCCAATCTGAAACGAATCGTCGTTGTTGCCTGCCTTAAAGATCTTTTGCCACTCGGTGCCGTCGTCCTTGTCCTCGTCGTCGTCGTCGTCCTCTCTATGTTTTAGCATTAAAAAACGAGCAAAAAAGTTTATGCCATGAGCCTCCAACATACTCGCCAAACTCTTCGTCAAATCGGTCTTTGTTGTGAACGATCACTGTGGGCGGCAAGAGGTCTAGGATTTGATGGACGAGATCGTGGGCAGCGCTTCGGAGTGGCGCCAGTACGAGCACCTAGTCGAGAGTCACATCGGGTACACAACATCGATTCTTGAACCGTGGGGCGACTGAATCCTTGGTCGCGGTACTCGGCGTCTTCGGAGGTCCCCTTGCTCAATCGTTCGTTGTGGCGGGCAATCGTGTCGCGGGATTTCAAGATGTGGTTGACAACATGCATCATCGTGACTTGGCGGATCTACCCTCATGTGGCGTCACCATGACAACGCTATCGTTCGGACATGGAATCGCTCGCCCACCTCTGCCAACGAATCTGCCGTCTGGTTGCAATAGAGTACATCTTGGTACTGGTGGTACGCTCCATGCAAGAGTTGCTGCAATGCCTACGCGCGTTTGTTACGCCGTTGATCTCTAAACAACGACAGTACAGTCAGGTCAGCGACGCCCTTCTTCGTCCATGCTTCGAGCAAGCGGTGTCGAATATGCGATAGAGGCCGCGCGCCACAGATAGCAGTGACGGGGGTTAGCACCGGCCTCACGCTTACTTCCAGGTCCTTCCAAATCTCCACGACTTGAAACGGATTGGGTTTCTTTGACAGAATCTACTCAGTCCACTATGAGGAGCATTAAAACGTGGACCATGCCCTACGTCCACATCAGACACCGTCAGCTCCTGCTTGAGATAACGCTGGCGATAGGGGTCGGAGTCGTCTTCATCACCCGCCATTGCTGCCTAAAAAGCACGTGAAGTCGATCCATGTCGTGGTGGCTTACCACAGGCTCGTTTGACTCGTCATCGTCCGCCTCAGATTCGCCCCCGCTGATGGGTTCTTCGGTGGGCTCATGGTCGCCATGCTCCTAATCGATACAACGAGACCTCATGCAGGGCCATTTGAGGAAATTACTTACAGGTCCATCTTCACCGACGTCATCCTCGGAAACGTCTGCTTCTTCCACCTCGTCACCTTCATCGCTCTCATCTACTTCCTCGCCTTGCTCGTCTTCGTCCTGGAAACTGGATTTTTGGCGTTGAAATCGCGAAACGAACGAGTTGAACGTCGACGGTTTGTCATCGTCGTCATCCGAGATTGCAGAGTCGGCATCGTCCGACAAATCTTCGCGGGGATCATCATCATCTTGCTCCTCGTCGGTATCGTCTTGGATTCCTTTCAAGCGACTGTATTGTCCTCGCTTGCGCTGAGCAATGGTTGATTCTGCCACGAGCCTCTTTTGCTTCAGTTGCTGCTTCTGTTTCTTCCATTGAGTGAACATGCTTTCTCCGCGCTTCTTGCGGTCGCCATCTCCTTCCAAAGCTCCACGTTGCTTCTTGGGCACATCCGTCTCATCGTCCCATTGAGTTCGCTTGCGCTTGCCGCCCTTCTTCTTGCCGCCCTTTGCCATGGTCGATCCTCACTTGCTCAGCAATTTGGTTGGTTCAACATCGTGATATTTTAGTACAAACAATGGGTATACAAATTTGAAGGTTTCATCTCAAATATGCATTATAATACCATTGACACCCCGTGATTGGTGCGAATTATATGTACCTGTTTCACGCTGATCAAGTCCTACATTAAACGTAACCGTCTTTATTCAAACGCTCAGTTCCGTCGAGTCCAACGGAGCATCCCGCAAAACACGCGCTAGAATGCGCCTCCCGTCGTACAACAGGTTGCAGTTAGTGAAAGAACATTCGTATGGTTGGTTTGAGCAAAGAGAGAATTGTTTGGGATCTTCCAAACGTAACCTGATATCAAGATTAAGTGGAAAGTGCATGTTGGCCGTCCGATACCTTGGATTTAACGCAATGCCAAAGTGCGCTAAATGTTGTGATTTGTTGAACGAATTCGCACGTCAATGAAAGTACGGTAGCCTCTCAACAAAAGCGAATTTGGACGATGGGGGAGCGGACGATCTGGAAGGACGCGCGGCACGGGAAGGTGCTGGAAGTACAAAGACGCCTCGCCCAAGGCGAGTTCGTCGATCAAATGGACGAGGTGCGTGTGTATATCTCTCTTCACGTGTACCACTCATATTTGTGAGATAGCAAGGTGATACCCCGCTTGTCCATGCGGCGTCAAACGGCAAAGCGAACGTCATTCAGGTGTTGCTGAAGCACCATGCATCACTGGATGCTCACCGCAAGGTATGCGACATCGTTCGACGAGTCCATATCACACATAATTTATGGTATTCGTCTAGGATCGCCTGTCAGCGCTCCTCCGAGCAATTCAGAAAGGGTCGATGGATTCCGTTCGCTTGTTGTTGGAGCATGGCGCGAATGTAGACTCGACCTTTCCCGTACGTGCTTGTCCGTATCATTTTCAACAACACATCCATGCATTTAGGATGGGAAAACACCGTTAATCTTTGCGGCCGGACATGGCGTGGCGCCAATGGTGTCGCTGTTGCTCGAGTTCCGCGCGAATCCGGATGCGCAAGACGAGGTAAGAAATATTCAGCTTGTTTTGTCCATGACACTTGCTATTGCAGTAACAAAAGATCTCTGCTGTGTGGTGTGCATGTCATTGACATGCCCATGACACGTCCTTAGGCAGGGAACACTGCTCTGTTGCTGGCATCGGCGAATGGATACCCCCGTGTCGTGCAATTCCTCATGGACGCCGGTGCGAACTGCAACCTGCCCAACTACGTACGTCGTCGATAAAGTTTGTATCCTCTCTCATGGGTTGTTTGGAGCAGGAGTCGAAGACTCCTCTGAGTGCCGCCGCGTCGGAAGGGCGAACTGAAGTGTTGCACATTCTTTTGGGCAAGGAGTCGTCGACTACGGACGTTGACGGATGCAACGAAGATGGCTGGACAGCATTGATTCACTCGGCGGACCGAGGACATCTTGAATGCGCCCGAGTGCTGGTGGAACACCACGCGAATATCGATGTCGTGACAACAGTACGCCACTATGAACGGGGTGACATGTATGCTTTTTAACATATTCTCTGCGGTGGTCTTAGAACGGTGCGACGGCACTGTGGGTCGCGACAAAACGCGGCTACAACGAAATTGTTCGCCTCTTACTCAATCGCTCGACAGCGGTGGTGGATGTCCCTGTGGTACAAGCACAAGTCCTTCAATGATGACCGCAGAGATTCATCATGGGCCTTAGGGAGGCATGACGCCACTTATGGTTGCCGCAGCATATGGCTACATGAGTATCGTGCAGTTGCTCTTGGATGTGTCAGCGAAATTCGATGCAAAAAATGCGGTACATCGCCGTCTCAATCGATCGAGCTGTGGTTTACGTGCTGGCAGGACGGAAAAACACCTGTGGACTTGGCTGTGGAACACAACCATGTTAATTGTAAAGTCCTCTTGTTGCTGCGCCAACAACACCCGTTGCTGTACTTCGCTAAAGCCGGAGATTTGCCGAGGCTTATGGCTCAACTCGAAATCCCCGGCGTCTCAGTCGACGAACGAGACGACACGAGGAAGACTGCGCTCATGTATGCTGCGGTCTCTGGGCACACCCACATCATGCGGCACTTGCTGTCACACGGGGCGGATATGCATGCCTTTGACATGGTAGGGTAATTGGATCATTTCCTCAAGTGTTCCCACAGTGCATCGAATTCGATGGATCAACTTGCCAAACTGTTTCTTCGCGCAACGTCACTCCGTGCTATCCATTTTAGAACGGAGCTACCGCCTTGTCTTTGGCGTCGGGGGAGTGCCGAGCGTTGTTGGAGCGGGAAATGTTGCATCTGCTGGTCCGCCAAGGCAAACACCAAGCGCTGCGTGAACTGTTGGACGAAAACGACAACCTGGACATCGAGCAACCAGACGAGGTTTGAATGTCTCGTCATCATACCACCCTTCTCACATGCCGCAGGATGGAACGACATTGCTGATGACCGCAGTGGACTCTGGCGAAGCTGATATCGTAAAGCTTCTTCTGGATCAGAATGCTGATCTCAATGCCAAGCGAGTCGATGGAAAGACGCCGTTGATTCTTGCAACAGAAGGCAACCACCTCGGCAGCAAAGCATATTTGGAAAAGGAAGCCCTCTTCCGCGAGAAGTTCCCTCTGCTGTACGAAGCTCGCAGCGACAACGTTGTGGCAACGCGCAAGTTGTTGGAGGCAGGCGCTCAAGTTGACGAACGCGACGATGTAATGAATACATCGATGACTTTGCAAAGGATCCACAACGTTGTTTTGGTAGGATGGCTGGTCGGCGTTGATGTATGCCGCGTCGATGAACAATGTCGGTGTCCTCAAGGTGCTGCTGGACTTTGGTGCGTCCATCGGTGGCAGCGACAAGGGGGGCAAGACGGCGTTTATGGTCGCGCCGAACAAAGAAGCGTTTGTCAAGTTGATTTTGGAGCAAAGTTCGTCGGAATTACGATTCAGCGAGCAAATGTTCAAAGGTCCGACAGGCCGACATTTTGTAAAGAGGTTAGATTGAATTCTAGGGGCGATCGAATGCGATCCGAAGCTGGGCAAGGCCATTCTGGACGAGTTTGTGATTGAGCGAGGTCGATACAACTTGGAATTCCGAGAACTGGATCGAATTTACGGCAAGGGAGAAGTACACGAATCTGCTTTGTACTCAATTATGCACCTTGACACTGCGGAACCCGAAGCGAAGGAGGCAGTGAAGCAGTACTGTCTGCAACACCCGATGATTCGCCGTGTTTTGCAACTCAAGTGGGAGGTACTACGTTTTTTCATTTCTTAACATGTTGAATCGTACGTTATGGATGCTGATATCTCTGTAGTTTTTCGCCCAGCGCTTGTACATCGAGCAGTTTTTGGCGTATATGCTGCTGTTGATGTCGAGTATCATTTCAGGCAGCTTTTATCAATTGGATGAAGCGCCGCGCAACGTGTTGAAGGAACTGGAGAACTTTTTCCAACCGGACTGGACGGCTTCTCCCATTCCGGTCGTAACGAGTATCGATGGCACCGTCACCGAACAAGTCGACAGTAGTGGGTTTCGACTTGCGTTCAACGTACGTTACGTTGAGTGGATTCAGCAGTGCCTCGACCCCATGGAGTAGGTGTGGCTCGTCACGTTCGTTTATGTGATTGTGGCGTATGCCATTGCCCATTACGGTCTCAAGCCCAAGCGCATTTGTGCCTTGTCCAAGTGGTGTCGTGAAGGGACGTACTTTGGCCTGGTCAAGTTTATCGTCTGGGTAAAGCCTTCTTCGTGTCAATCATTCGAGTTATAGCTACTGCTAGGGGGACTACACTGAATTGGACTGGTCGGAGCAAATCCCTGACATGAAGCAATGGAAGAGCTACGCGATGAAGCTGTTGTTTGTGCAGTCTTTATTGTGGACTGCGGTGCTGGGGATTCCGCTGTTTGCTTACATCGCGACTCGGTCGGACGCTGAAATCAACGCGTACGTGTCACCGCTGGGACTATGGCGCTCAGCACATTTGTAGATCCAAGGATTTCATCCAGATGTTCCAAAACTTCATTCTTTGGCTCGCGGCGCTGTACTTCTTCCGATGGGAAGTCAAGGAAATGATGGGATATGGCACGCGCAACTACTTTACGAGCATCGTCAACACGATGCAAATGATTACATTTTGCGTCATCTTGTTCTTTTACGTCCCGTGCCAGCTCCAAATCATCCCTGAGACCATCGTGGCTCGGCAAACCCAGGTGGACTCCCCGCAATGGAACCAATTCGGTTCATTCACAACCATGTGTAGCTTGTGTGCTCTGGTCTCACGACGTTGTCTCTCTGGGTGCTCTTTTTGCAATTTCTCGAGATTATCCCAAGCGCGGGTTACTTGCTGCCAATGATGAAGGGTTTGATGCGCGATCTGACGCGCTTCTCGATTCTGTACGGCGTGTTCCAATGTAAGGAATTTGGCACAGTTGGCGTTGTCCGTGATTCTGCCGTCGCTAGGTGGCTTGACGTGTTGCTACTACATTCTGTTCCAAGGCAAAATCGGGCATGAATCGATGCTCAAGTCGTTCAGCACGGTCTTTTTCGTGTTGTTTGGACAACTCGATCAAGTTTTGGAAGCCATTGACAGCGAAAAGGCCGACCAGCCGCTGCTGTACGTTGTGGGGTACATTTTGCTCATGTTTCACTGCGCAGCAGCCATCGTGCTGCTCTTGAACGTGCTCATTGCCATGATGAACGTGACGATGCAAATGGGGCTCGAAAATGCCCGCATCGAAGCGCTCGTGTCGTACGCGCACTGCATTCTCCGCCTCGAATTGAGTCTCCAGCCCCAAGAACGCCTTGAAATGATCTACATTATCAAGCCCAAATTCCTCAAGGACATCGACCCCGCCATGCTCTACTCCGCGCCAGAGTCCTCGATCACCGGGGACGAGTTGCCCGAGTTTGCCATCAAACGGCAAGAAGCCAACAAGTTCCGCAGCATCCATATCAAAAATGTTGTCCAGCGAGTGGACGAGACGCAGCCGCTGATTGTGTCGGCGTCCGAGGAAGGCGCGGCGGCGAGGCCCAATGCGGTGGGGATTTTGAATCCTGCATTTTACGAAAAGACGACCAAGAGCGAGTACGCGCCGCTGGTCGAGATCCCCGACAACTCGACCGTGCAGTTTCAAAACGATGTCAAGGCCGCCCTCACCACGATCAAGAAAGAACACGCACAACAACTCAACCAGCTCAAGGTCCAGATCGCCGAACTCACGAAATCGATACTAGATTACCAAGCCACGACCGCCCCCAGTGGCATGGTGTCCATGTAGTTGTAATTCATCCAACTCTTGACGTAGACGCCGTTGTCATGTGAGGCGCACGTCCCCGCATGGCTCGAGAACACAAAGTGCTTCGACCAACTCATCGCGTAAGCCAAAGCGCAGCGGCCACCGATGATTTCACCCAAGTCGAGGCTGTGTCTCTGCACTGTACAGGTCTCACGAGGTTCAACGATCGGCCAAGTGCTGCACGTACGTTATGAGTGGGTTCGACATGTCTGCCACTCGTCCAACGGCGGCCCCGCGTGAATAAACAATCACGTGTCCAGGTGAGGATGCGTTGTGGTGCGGAGGTCCTTGGGTGATCGCGCCTGCGCTGTTTGCAGACGTTGGTTGTCTCTACTGCCCCGACCCACCTTGGACGACGACGATCCATCGCGCGGTCGACAACTCGTTGTTTGATCCACCAGCTCAAGTCTCTTGGCGCCAAGCCGTGCAAAGACACCTCGTTGTGTTTGCTGTCGCATGCGTTGATGTCTCTACTCCACCGATCACGCGCGGAATATACATGTCTCGATCGGTGTCACGTGCAAGTCACGTGCCATGCACACGCATCCACCAACGATCACCTTTGCGGACCACGCATGGAAGCTTGTACACGCAGCCATGCACATCCATCTCACAATCGCTGGGCATGCGACGCCATGATGTATCGACGAGCGGTCGGCCACGGATCTCTTTCCACCGCCGCCGCCGTTGGACCTCGGAACACAATGACTCATCGGGTTTCCCTATTTCGAGTCACTCCCTGGCAATCGTCGTCGCCGGTCTCGTGTTTTTGCTACCATTTAAGCCATTTTGTCATGGATTTCATCCAATCCAAACAAACCTGTCGAAATCGTCCACTCGTCTGGTTTGGATGCGTCAACGCTCCCACCACGTGACACGCACGTCGCCCGCGTTTGCTTGTGTTGCGCCCGCCAGATTGTTCCGCAGCCACCGCCATCTGCACGTTGCCGGTCGTGACTGGCCTTCGTGGTGAGATGCCCACCTGGCTTGAGTATACGCTGCGGTTCACGGGCGTGCGGGCGGTCGAAGATTCCAAAGCGTTCGCTCCATCTCTCGTCTCTTGTCGGGGATGTTTTCGTGGTTAGGTGTGTCGTGGCTCCGAAGAAGATGCGCGCGGCGGCGGAACAACGTCGTCGGCCATGCTTCAACTCATATCCCTGTGACGTTTAGCCGCGACAGAGGTCCGTCGAAATCGTGTCACGACGCCGTCCGACTGGTTGACACGGTCGACGCCTCGCAGCATCCTGTCCTTCTCTTACCACGCGCTTCGCATCCATCGCGACCCGCGCGCCGTGCCCTCGTCATGCTTGCATGACCTAGCTGCACACGGGCTCATCAATCCGGATATCGTCCACATGATCCATCTCGGAACAGAGCTGTTGCTACAACCAGCGCGCCGAAACAGAAGGAGAATGCGAACAACCCGACACAATCCCAACGAAACGCAGACAACGTCGATCGTCGCTGCCGTCTCGACCGCGACGCGTGGACAAGGACACCCCGTGCAGCAGTCGCGTGTTGTTGCGCGCCCATCGGCAGCGCGGCCGCCACATATCGGGTCAGCACACCATGGCCAGTTTTCAGGCCAGCACAAGAGACGAGATCGCGTCCGATTGGCTGAAACGACCACATCCAATCAGATGGCGCCGTTTGCGACACAATCGGTCGAAATGCTCATTTGGAGATTTGACAGCGATGGCCCAAGGCATCCACTTGAAGGCGACTGTGCAGTACATTGTTCCCGCCGGAGCGACCGTCGCGGACGTCCTTCAAGTGTTCCGAAGCCCCAACTGGGTCTCGTACATGATGCGGTACATCGTTCCGCAGCTCAAGGCGTCGACGCCGGCGACCAAGACCGCGTTGGATGTGTGTCCTCGCGTTCAAGAGTCGTCGCGCGCTCAAGACAACGACTGTGTCGTTTGTATGAACGCCAACACGTACCACGAGTCGCTTGTCCTGCCGTGCGGACACGTTTTCCACGAAGCGTGCATTGGATCGTGGCTGCGACTTCGAAGCACGTGCCCCACGTGTCGATACCAGTTTGAAAAGGAGATTTCAGGCCGATATGCGATTCGATGCATCAACTCTGCCCTCGTTCTCGACAATGTGGAATCCACCAAGGAAGCGATGCTCGCCCGACGCATCGGTGGTGAAACCGTTATGGTCGCTGTGCACGTGACGCTCATCCAAGCGTCTCAGTTTGCTCCAAATGAAAAGTATCCGTGCGTCCTGAACGCCGCCGTGATGCGAAGCCCCATTCAACACACAACCATCGGCACTCTTAGTAGCAGCCAGCCGTCGCATCACCGGCGGAAGAGCTCTCGGCTGCCCTCTCCCGCGTCGTCGTCGCGGAGTACGAAACGTATCAAGCAATCGTAAATAATTCCTTATTTAATCTTATCCAAGTGTAGACTCTGTCCACCACGTTTCTCAAAATCTTGCCTTTTGCTCCAATATGAAAATCATTATTGCATTTGATTGAAAGAACGGAAAATGTCTTGGAAAAAGTTGAAAAAAGTAGTGAATTTGACGAAAGCCCTGAAACGTCGAAACCCCTCGGCACCGACAGTCGAAGAAGCATCGTGTGGGACATCCGCGACGCGCGTTCGGGACGATATCCCATCAGTCGACACGGACGAAAACGAATGCTTTCCATGCGTCATGACAGCGATGGTAGCAGTCCTCGGAAGTTTGGGAGAGTGACCTTCGTTCCTCTCCCATTCGCCAAATTTGTATCTTTCGCCAGGACCGCGAAACGAACCGTTCGCACCCAGTGGCCTCCGCGCATTCCTTCTACAGCTTGGGGGAGCCAAATGTTTACTGGTCGCATCAGTACATCCCTACTGGACTACCTGTTCCGAGGTACATGCATGGCCACATTTGGGATTCTCCTATTCGCCTTGGGCGACAGATCTGTCGTCGTCAGCTACACCCCGATACGCACCCGGTCAGCTGTTTCGATGTCTATTGCGTGCTATCAAGCAGAAGTGTCGCACTACGCTCTGGACAAATCGTGCACGTACGACGGTCGCACAAAAAGCTTTGGCAGTAGTCATGCGTCGCGGTAGGATGCAGACGAGTGCGTAGCTGATCAGGTCAACGGGTGAAATCGAAAGTGTCTCCCATATTCAGGAAAAGTGAACTTGTCGCGAGTTGAACGCGTTGAGGAGCACGAGAAAGTCGTCGAGGTCCATTTTGCTGCCACGTTGATCCGAAAACTTGGTTTCAACGAGCACATCTTCGACGAGCTGCTTGATGTCGAAGGCAGGGTCGACGGCCTAAGCAGAGGACGTAGCATGCCCAAGGCCATCCACGCACACGACATACCAAGTTGTGGAGCGAGCAGTACGTTTTGTAATTGTCTTCGAGGACCTTGAGCACCGGCTTGGTGCAAAAGCTCGCGCGGAGGGTTTTGTTTTTGCGGTTGAAAATGATCTTCACCATGCCGTCCCATTCCTATGAAGACATGCCATTATCGTATCACGACTATTCTCGTGGAAATGGCCCACCGTAAAGTTGACGGGGGGCGGCGGGTTCTTTGGCTCAATGCGCACGACGCGGGACTCGACTTTGGGCGGCGGTCGAAAGTTGCTGCGGCCAACCTTGAGCAACTGATCCACCTTGGCCAGCAACTGCGTGTTCACAGACAATCGGCAGTACAATTCGTCTCCAGGCCTGGAGATCCATCCGTTCCAATGAGCACATTCGACCAAAGGAACCGCACCTGGCGCTGAGACGTTTGGCAAACTCTTCTTGGAACATGACAACGGCGCATCGGAACATGGGGCGATGTGAAAGCAGCTTGAAGACAAAGGGCGACGAGATTTGGTACGGCAAGTTGGCGACGCACACGTCAAAGAAGGGCAGCTGGACCTTGATGGCGTCGCCATGGATGATGTGAAGGCGCTGGGCGTGCTCGGTGTTTTGCACACGCTTTTGCACTTCCGCAATCATTCGAGGGTCGAATTCGACGGCAATGACTTTCTTCGCTTGCTCAAGGAGCTTCATCGTGATGTTCCCTGTCCCGGGCCCAACTTCGAGACAAATGTCGGTGCTGCGGATGGCAGCCTTGGCGACAATTTCCGCGGCAATCGCAGGGTTCTTCAAGAAATGCTGGCCCAAGTCCGTGTTGGGAGTGGCAAGCGTCCTCCCTCGCGAGTTTTGGCTGGCGCCTGCAGCTTCCGCGGTCGTCGTGTGGTGGCGGCGCTTCACCTTCTTCTCTTTCGGCATCGTCGACGAGTTGGAATGGCCCGACCAAATACCAGCCAATCGAATACCCGCACGGATTGGCTGATGGGATTTCGACGCAGCCAATCGATTTCTTGTGACCAAAGGTCACGAGATTTCAAGACAACCTCGCCGAACACCAACAATGCCATCATGCACCTCCATGGACGTACGCTCTCTTCGCAGGTCTCTGAAGCCTCACGACGCTCCCGAACGAACCCAGCGAAGTCGGAAACTTGGCTCTGACCTTCCACATGCATGCCATTGACCTCATGGTCGTGTTTGGACGAAGCGATCGAATGACAAGACGCATGACGGCTCGGCGCTCGAGCTGTTGGGCCTCCCTGATTCAACTCAGAGTGAGCAATTGAAAAACCTTGGCCCATTGCACCCCCCTCACGCCACAATTGTACAACTTGACAGAGCCAACATGCCAACCTCGACAACCTCAACTCGGCGCATTGTTCTTCAAGCACGATGCCCTTCATGGCACATGGACACGACCAAGAGCAGGCAAATGGCCATGTTACGTGATCCGGCGGTCCCCACCACGTAGCCATCGAACCGAGACAGCACACCCCTGTAGTCGGATATGTAAACTTTAATACGACTTATCCACGGAACGACACTTTACACACTACACGCCCTTCTTTCGCAGCGTGTGGAAATGCACAAACTTCTTCTTGCCAGGCTTCCCTGCACCCTTCTTTTTCTTGGCCAAGGCGGCGTGGTCCTTGCGGTTGGTCTGCTTCACGTCGTTGTTCAAGAGCGCAGCTTCGACAGCACCTTCCGTGACCACGGTGTCCAACGTCTCGTCCACACCCGGCGTCACCATGGCGGGTTTGGTGCTGCCAAATGCACTCTTGAGACTCGCGAACGAGCTACCTTGCTGGGACTCGATGGCTTTCTTCAACTCAGCCTGAACCTTTGCCTCCTTCTTCTCCTGGTCAGCCTTCCCGATCGTCGCGCGCAGCTCCCGCCGCCAGTACTTCTTGATCTTGGACCGGATGCTCTTGGCCATCTTGATGCGAAGTAGACTGGAATAGCCAATCGCACCAACCACGTCAGCTCGGTCGTTCATTGGCTGACAGCTAAACCATTTTATTTTTGTCGATTCATATTCGGTCCATTTTGATAGTGATATTCCCAACAATTTGTCTCATTTCTTTTTTCGTTCGGAGTTGCGCACACGGACCACCACTACATCTTTCGCTGTTGTGGATTTGGAAAATTTTTTGGTCGGCAAAATGTCGGCGTATTCTTGTAGAGTATCTCAACACTGAAACCCGCGTTTTTCGGAAACGAACACGAAGCGTCAAGCACGGGCTGGAAAGCAAAGAAGCGCTATCGTCCGCGAAGGAAAACGAGAATAGTTGCTTGGGTCATGAGATTTTTGTCGTGTGTCGTGTATGATGTATGGACCACCATCAACGCGTGGGGTCCCCTCCGATTTGGATGAAAGCATACTTATGACTTGAGTGGTGTCAAGTGTGGATGGATTTGTCATGGGGGACGCTCTCAAGTGTGGCGAATTGCTCTCAAGTGTCAAAAAAATACCATTGTGGAAGCCACACACACATCCAAGAAATATCGCGATGAAAGGATCGCATCGAACAATGTAGAATGAATGATCGAATCCAGACAAGGGCAACGATGTGTTTGATGTATCTTTTTCTGGTCAAACACACGTCAGTACACTCCGTCATTGTGGCGCTGGAAAGGATTTTTTAACGTCATGTCGAGCCGTGGGAGTTTCGTATATTTATGATGGATCCATGGAATTCTTTGATTGGGTATATTAAATTCCAACCCGATATTTTGATTGGCTAGGCCATTCTCCATGATTAAAAAATTCGACGAGGCCAGCCGACACAATTTGTGCGGAAATCGGAGGACGCGATGCTGTCGGGTGGGTCGCCGGCGCCGTCATGGCAACTCGTTTCGATGGGTGGGACAACACTGGTGCACAATTTAGGTTTGAAAGGCCCTGCGATCGCTCAACCCGAGTTTCTCAACGCGATACTACCATCGTATCACAGTTGGATCTGTCAGGAGTGGCATGGGAGTCGCCACGGACATCGATTTATTCGTGCGAGTTGTTGTTTGGATGCGGACGGGTCGGTCCAAACGGGAGACGGTAGTGGTGGACAGGAGAAGGAGCTGAAGGGAACAAGGACTGGAGGGAGGGGACAGGCGGGAGGCGGGGGTAGGAATACGAACCTTGAACACTGCCGCTTCCGACGGGAGAGCTCCGTGAGTCGTGAAGTCCGAGTGAGATGGCCTTGTAGGACCGAGTTGACGGAAGAGGCGGAGGCAAGGGCGGAAAACGAGGCACCATGTCGCTCGCCGGATGCAACATGCTTCGAAGTAAGTCGTGGGCGGAGGAACTGTGTGGGTGCCTGGTCGCGGCACTGGGTTCGGTGGGAATGGCCGTGTCGGTCGGAGGCATCGACCCGTCAACTTTGCCGTTTGCTTGTGCTTTCATAGTTTTCGATAGCTTTCTCTTCTTCTTGGCATATTGTTTCTGACATGAATTCGCCTTTGCCTGATGTTCTGCGCACAACGAATGCAGCTCGCCGTTGCGCTTCAACGTCCGTGGGTTGAAGCACGGCTTGTACACGTACTTGCACAGCATGACTGTGTCGGGTGACGAAGAAGTTGCGGCGGTGTCGAGCGTCCGTGCTTTCGTCGCCGTGTACGACTGTTGTCCATTGTTGGCCTTTTTGCGGAGAGTCTCGCACGATGCATGTAAATCGCCCCTGCTCTTGACGGCGCGCGTGTTCAAACTCGGTATGTTCGTATACGTACACGACGTCGCTGCATGCTCGTCTGTGGTTTCGAGCTCCATGGGTTGTTGTGTTGGCGGCGCGCGGTGGAGGTCGTTGTCCATGGCGTCGCGTCTGCTTGCTTTGCGTTGCAGGTACTGCGGTTGTGTTGGCGATGCGCGGCGGAGGTTGTTGTCCATCGAGATGTCACTGTTTGCTTTGTTTTGCACGCGATGGTGCTGTGGTTGTGTTGGTGGTGCGCGGCGGACGTCGTCGTCCACGGGCGCGCCGCTGCTTCCGACGTTTTGTTCGCAATAGTGATATATGTTGGGTGCCACGAAATCAATGGGCACACGACAGCATTGAAAAGTCTAATTGCATACAAAGTTTCATACTATTTTTGATTATCGATAGTGTCGGAGAGGCGGATGTCGATATTCCGGATAGTTTCGGATAACATGGCCAAATCAATATACCTTATAGATATCATTCCGATGATCGCCCCAATCCCACCATCAGTTTCCGATCCTGACTTTCCAAATTATATTGAAGTGGGTATCGAAATATATATAACAAGTTATTTTCTTCAAATTCGAGTTTCGCCGTTTTTGGTGAGTTTGATGGCGTCGCCGCGGCGACGAGAGTTCGACGGCATCAACCAAACGCATGCGATGGTGCGTCCTCCGTGGACTGCTTTGCTTGCAAAAGCGCATATCGGTGAAAGGTTTTCCAGCCTCAAACATCGGTGAACACTGTGAGATTTGTGGATCGACGGATGTTTCAATGCGATGTACTGCCATTTGCGAAGCACTAGTCGTTGGTGCCTTGATCCTGTACCCTCATGGCAATGGAACTGCTTCGTGGAGGAGTGATCGCACACCTTGAGTGGGCTTTCATTCCCAGACATTCCGGCATGGAAACGTTCATGCCGGCGTCGAATCACGAACACGTTGGACATGCGACAGTATATCGTGTGGCATACATTATTCGCAGTCAAGAAAGACGGGATTTCAATTCCAGTGAGGACAAGTCTTACAGCCTGCACTTCAAACTGCATCCAGCGACGGTCGGGCATTTCGAAGGCTTCGAGCCACTCGAGCCTGTGCTACAGCCTACATGAAGCCACCAAGCGTCCAAAGTAGAGCCACAGGAACGCAGATTCTCCGATTTCATCAATACCTTACCAAACGAACGGCGGCCCGCAAGTGGCCAGAACTGAGCCATTTTCGATGGTTCACAATCTGTCGTTGTTGGTACGCACCGCTGGCTTTGTCTTGGCGTTGTCCAAAAGAGCTGGCAAGCGCTTCTTGTTGACTTTTCCCATGGCATTTTTTGGAATAGATTCCACGGCATGGACGACGCGGGGCCACTTGTACTTGGCCAGTTTCCCTTGAAAGAAATCATGCACCCACGACATGTCATCGCGTGTCTGGGGATGGCGCAGCACGACGACTGCAGTGACAATTTCACCCCACGTATCGTGGGGCGTGCCGTACACCGCGCATTCCACAACGAAGGGATGGCTTAGAAAGACATGCTCGACTTCGAGGGCCGAGATCTTGTACCCCGCGCTCTTGATGATATCGACCGAGGCCCGGCCAAGGATGCGGTAGCTCTTTTTCGAGTCGTCGAATTCGGCAATGTCGCCCGTTTTGAACCACCCATCGACTGTCCATGCGTTCTTTGTGTCCGCATCACGCTTCCAATACCCCTACAAATCCCATTTGAATCCATCGCTCGCACATGTGAAGCGGTCGAGATGGTCGTTGAAAAATCCATGCATCCACCGTACTTTGAACAGAGTTGGGCCTTGAACTTGCAATTCTTGTGTTTCCTGCAACAACAATCCGTCGGCGACGCCACACGACATCGATGCGATCGACCTGTGCGATACGTGCTCGAATGCTCGGAAATGGCTGCCCCACAAACCCCATGTGCTTGTTGCCGTGGAGCGGATGACCCAGCGCCATTCCACATTCCGTCATGCCGTAGCTACCGCAAACTGTCGTGAAAAAGAACCCACTTGAGCTAGTTCGTCGACCCACCCGTCGACCGTCGAGAGCATGCAGTCGGACACTCCATCACACCCGACACTCGTCTTACCGTTCCAGCAAAGGTTGGCCCGTCAACGCCTTCCAGCGTTCCAAAATCGGCAGCGGGCATGCCATGCTACCGCTAATCGCCACGCGAAGTTGTCGCAGCCCCGCTCTCGCCTTGCTTTGACTCGCCTCGTCCATGCGATCAAACGCTTCCAACAGAAGCATGTAGATGCTTGGAACAGCCATCAAGACTGTCACAGGGTGGTCCGCATCCGATAGCCTGCAATCACGCATAAAAACTGCAATGGGATTCCCACCAAGTGTTTCGACCTACTTGGTCCAGATCTCCGCGGCCGACGCTCCAGCCAAACAGTCCACAGTCGCGCCGCAGGCCAATGGAGCGAGCAAGTTGTTGACAATTCCTGCATGAATGAGCACGTCAGTCGTTGAGAGATGAGGGAGAAAGGGTCGTCGTTACCATGCGTGTGATGGAGAGGTAAGAAATGCACGAACCGGTCGTGACGTGAAAACTCCCACGCCGACGCAACGTCATCCACTTGAGCATACAAGCTCTCCTGGGTCGCCAGCACGCCTTTGGGTGTTCCTGTCGTGCCGCTTGTGTACAACAGCATCGCGTCTTCGTTCGAGAACGCGCTGCCGTCATGGAGGTGCGTGTGGACAGCATCATCAGTGGATGGAGTGGCGGAAGATGGATCAAACGTGAGAGAAGGAATGGGCAGAGTAGTTGTGTCCAGGTTGGGATGCCCGATGACATGCGACGCCCCCGAGTCCCTACGCGAGAGATTCCGTCAAGGCAAAGTACGACCCGTCGCGGCGAACTTGAGAATGTGGAGGCGCTCGGGCAAGGCACTTGACGTCGAGATTGGAACGGCGATGTGGTTGCCCATCCAGATTGCCCACTGGTTTCGCACGTACGCAAGATCCTACCGCATCCCTCGACGGTCAAGCGTGTTCGGCGTCGAGTAATGTGTACACGGTGCGCTGAGAATGCAACAACGCCTGGAGTCGCGGGCAGTTGGTGAGACAGAGAGAGGGCTTCACACAAAAGAGTCTGCACACAAGAGCCTTGTGCGCGCGCATCGAGGTTTGGCTGTCGAAGAGTTCCATTCGCTTGATGCAGGCGCTGGAGGAGGCGCATGACGCCTTGTCGTTCCGCAAACTACACTACGATCGCCACATTAATTCCTGCTATTGTAGTACTACTAACCTGACGACAATAAATTGGACACTAATTACCATTATTTGGCATGTTGCGAAACAACTGCAACAAATTGTTTCGTAGCACTACAAAATATCCGGCAAAATGTTTCGCTACCCACAACTATTTGGTTTTAGAGTAATTTATTGATGGATCCTTGAGTGTTATGGATAATACTATCCACATACGAAATTTGAGATGATTCTGTTTTGATTTGATTAAATTATGGCCATTTGGTTCCTCGATGATGTCGTCCACTGTAAAATGTCGGCATGGGTTGGAGCATGGCGTCGAGTGATCATTTTGGACTCACCAGCACCAAGTCGTGGACGATCCATTGAGTTGCCTGACACACGATGTGATGTGCGTGCTCCAGCAGTGTTGTACCGGCGTCTTGCCTTTGTCGTGGTGTCGCCCGCACCAAGAAATGGAGTGCGTGGCTCATATGCAAGGAAGGCATGGAGAACGTCGGTCTCACCATGTGTACCAAGCAACGGCATGGCCCACAAACTGGGCTGGCCACCATGCATTGAGTTCGATGCGATCCATGCTCCATGGAGTATCCTCCGAGCGACTGGTACATTACGTCGCGGAACGTGCAAAGCACCGCGTTAAATTTGTCCTCAAACACGGCGCGGACATGGTGAAGCTTGGAGAGCACCGTCTGTTGCTCGAAAGTAGTTGAAATGGGCACGAGCGGCGCCGCCGTAGTGTGGGTTGCAACTCGGCGGGTCTGGTGTTTCAATAGGGACAACATCTTCGACAACGCCCGTGACGACGACTTTG